TGGAGATAGGGGTGTGTGGACTGTACAACTCCATCCTAAGTTCCCAAGTAGAATATATGAGTCAGCCCTGAACAGACAGAAAGATTGGGTAAGGAGGGTATATTAATCACTCTTCTGTTGCTGTGATAGAAATACCATAGCCAAGGGAACTGAAAAGGAAGAGTTTATTTGACCTTACGTTTCCAAGGGGACAAGAGTCCATCATGGTGGGGAGGCATGGCGGCAGAGGTGTCTTGAATAGGAGCAGAAGCTAAGTGCTCACATCTTCAAGCAGGAATAGGAAGCAGAGAGTCACTAAAGAGCCTACAAGGCTTAAGAACTCTCTAAACCCACCCCCAGTAATGTGCTTCCGCCAGCATGACCACACCTTCTAAGACTTCCCAAAACAGCACCACCAGCTGGGGACAAAATGTCCAAATGCTTTGAGCCTATGTGGGACATTCTTATTCAAACCACCACAGAGGGACACATAACCCCACAAGAACAAATTACATTTCTGGGAAGATACTCTGAATTTCCACTGGGATGGGAGGCAGGATGGGCCTCTTGCCATCTTGCTGTCATGGGAACTGGAAGCTGGAGCAAAAACCAGCACCAAAGAAACAGGTGTCAGCAAAGAAGACATCAGTGGTCATTTTTGTTTGCTTCCTTATTTATGAGGCAGGGTCTTCAGTAGCTCAAGCTGGCCTGGAGCTCATTAGGTAGCAGAGGATGACCTTGCCTTGAAATCCTGATCCTCTTGCTTCTTTGTTCCTATTGCAGAGATCACAGGTGTGCACTACCTCACCTGGCTTTCGATATCTTTATCATGGTCACCCTGAAGGTAGATACTCTCCTGGGGCCTTTAATTTTGTAAGCTAATAAATTCCATTTGCTGCAGCAAGTTTAATTTGCATTTTTGTTCTTTTTAGCCTAAAGAGGCCTAGCCCATAAATAAATTGGGAGAAATTATTTTGCTTGGGGGCATTGCATATCACTTAGTACCCTAAATGTGGAACTCTAGGGGAACTTCTGATCATAGGACTGTGTTGCCGTGGCAGTCTGCAAATTGGGTAGGATTCCTAAAAATAAGAATTCTGGGGCTGGAGCAATGGCTCAGCAGTTAAGAACACTGGCTGTTTTGCAGAGGTCCCTGGTTTGAATCCAGGCACCCATATGGCCACTAACAACTGTCCATAACTCCAGTTCCAGGGGATCTAACACCCTCTTCTGTTGTCCGTGGGTATTGCACACATAAAATAAAAATGATAAAATATTAAATACAAAGAATTCTGCTAGAGGCAAGAATTTGTACCTTGTTTCTGAGACTCTCCAAAGAGGCAAGGACATTTTTGTTCTGCCATAAATGCTACCTCTTAGAATTGTCTTTCTGGACCTGACCATCCAAAGTTGCTTCTACGTTATTGTAATAGGGCACCTTCTTGATCATAGCTATGCCATGTTCAAGTTTAGGCTGACTCTAGTCTCTCAAATTATTAGACATTTGGCCCAGGATATGGGAACACATGCAAGCTGGACCCTGGTTGTCTTGGGAACAGGTCAGAGAGTCCTAGAGTGTACCTGCTGTTGATTTATGGCTTCTGTAGGTTATGCTTTGCTTGCTTCTGCAAAATAGTAACTGTTGATTAATAGAATAGAAATTATTTAGGGGACTCTCCATGTGTAAGAGTGGGAACCTAAACTTTTCACTCCTGGTTATAGTTTCTCTGTGCAAAAAGTATCCCACAACATTTAGAGGTTCCTAAGATACACTTGCTATGCACCCCCCCCCAAGGGAACATTGTGACTGGTAAAGACAAAATAGAATAACAGTAAGATTGATAATGTCAGTTTATGAGAGAGGAGGAAGCTAATTCTGTGCAGGTGGGGGGTTTGGATGGAAAATTGTATTTTCTTATGTATTTCCTTGATAATGTTTGCTCAAGCTTAATGCTCAATGATTGGCTTCTGTATTCTGCTTGCTTGCTTAGCAACATGATCACTATAAAAAGAGCCAGAATGCTTAGGCTCAGTGCTGCACTCGGACCCTCTAGGAAAGAATGTAAGCCTGACCTTGTAGCCTAGCCTTAATAAATCTTTCTTTCTTTCTCTAGACTCACCTGTTTGTTTGTTTGGGGCATCCGTGGATCCCAGACTTTAACAGTTATCCGGTTTACATGTCTGATGAGCACTGTCATTATCTTTGGTGGTTTGTTTTCCGAAGGGTTTCACCCTGTTCCTGCTCTGGCCTTGAGGCATCTTGCCTCATAGCCCGAGAAGTGTTGGAATTACAGCTGTGGGTTACCACGCCCCGCTTCCTTTTTATTTCTATTTATTTATTCATCTTCTTTTTCTGATAGGGTGGCCTCTACTCACTTTGTAGCTGAGGGTAACTTTGAACTTCATTCTGCATCCACCTCCTGAGTGTTGAGATTAAAGTCGCTAAAGAAACATCATTTTGTCCTGGGTCAGTTATTATGACTTTTGTGGTTTTTGCCTTTATAAACTCTGTAGCCCTGAGCTTCAGTGCTGAGAGAATTTCAAAGGCACTAGTCACTCTCAATCATGGGTTATCAATAAGACTCCTTTTCTTTTTAATTGGTATATGCTCGTGGTGGTGATCTGTAATTCTCTGACCTGGGTATAACAAGATTACAGGTGTGAACTACCACCACACCTGGTTTATGCAGTCCTGGGGCTTGAACCCAGGGCTTTGTGCATGCTAGGCAAACGCTCTACTGATAGCTACCCTGCCTCTCAGCCTTTATTTATCTTAAGGAAAAAGAGATCTGTAGATTTGGATGGGTAGATCAGGGAAGACAGTTCTGAGAAATGACATTAAATTCTAATGAGGACATCATAGTTTTTTTTTTTTTTTCTTTCTTTTTCTTTTTTGAGACAGGGTCTCCCTGTAGCCCCAGCTGGCCTGCTGGAACTCACTATGCAAACCAGTTTGGTCTCAATCTCACAAGGATCTGCCTGCCTCTGCTGGGATTAAAGCCATGTGCTACCCTGCCCGGTCAGTTGATATTTATGTCAGAAGAAAATGTTCCTGCAGCTTTAAAGATGATAACTTGCTATATAGACCTGGCTGGCTTGGAATTCACGGAGATCTGTCGGCCACTGCCTCCAGAGTGCTGGGATAAAAGGTGTGCACCACCAAATCCAGCTGCTTTTTATTTTATTTTTATTTTATGCCTATGAGTGTTTTGCTTGTATGTATGTAAGTGCAGTCATGTGTACAATGCCCGTGGAGGTTCAGTTATTAGCTGCCATGTAGGTGCTGGAAACCACTGAGTCATCTCTCTAGCTCCCCAGCTGTTTTTTAAATAATAAAAAGAAACCCAAGTGAAGCAAGAGATTGCCTGGAGTTTGAGCCCAGCCTAGGTTACATACGAGTAGCAGGCTAGCCTGGGGCCTAGTGTAAGGCAAACAAAGAAACAAAGAAAACCCAAGATGGTGGATCACCTGTACTCTTTGAATCTGGATGGCAAGGCTGGAGGATCACAATGAGTTATAGGCCACCCTGGTCTATGTAGCAAAATTCAGGCCAGCCTGAGGTACACAGAGAGATCTTGCCTCGTAGTCTCCCCCAAGCAACCAAAACACTATACAAAAAAGCCTAAGGAGCAGAAATACATTTATTTCTGGTCAGCCTCAGGGTTAAACAAAAACACAACTGGAGCATGGGAATTCCAAGGTGTGTTTTTCTCTTAAATGTAACACATGTCCCTAACAGATTCTCTAATATACACAGATAATGAAGAAATGGGTCTCTGGAATTCTACTCTCTTGCTTTCCACTTATTGTTAGGGGAAAAGACGGATGTTAGTTTTCCTGTCCTAGAAGTGACTTGGCTTTTCTAGAAGTTTTTATGGTTCTGGAAGGATCACTTCTAAGGTATGAATCCCTCTGCAAAGCAGAAATTCTGCATTCCATAATCTTCAGGGATTCTACGGATTAAAAGCCAGCGAACCATCACGCTTTCTAGTGGTGGAACACGTTGCCTGCATCAGGCACCTTCAGTCCTTTAGAGTAGTTAGACTGGCCAGGGCCCAGGTTGAGTGAGCGCTCTTCGTAGGGTGCGTCATCGCCCCAACCTATTTCAAGTACTGGCAGCTTCCTAAAGATTTCCTGGGAAGTAAGCTCCTGCTTTAGCTTGAGGCTAGTTCACGAAAACAACCTTTCACCTACTTAAAAGTTCACAGACCAACTAAATAATATGTTGGGTTAAGAAAAAAACCTCCTGCTATGAAGTCTTTTTACCGTATACCGACCGTGTTTTAGTCATTTGTGTTTTGCTGATGTGTGTTTGCTGGAGGTGGGGCTGGGGCTGTGTACGCCTTTGCCCTTGTGCAGTGAGGGTCCAAAACGAACTACAACGGCAAACTAAATATACACGCATTTTTCCTTCATAAACATTAATTTGGAGTCAGCCGTCTCCTTTGAAAACTTGGGTTGTGAGTACATTTAGGGGAAGAATGGCTTACAGGCTGGTTAAAGGAAGCCCACGCAAGAAATAATACCGCGTATGCTTTGAGCATTTGAGCCTCTTCCTGCCCCAGGCTTTCCCAAATTCATTTTATCTTGCTAGGTTTTCTAGAACTTGGTGCAAAACTAGGATAAAGAAGCCAAACCGGAGAAGAACGAAAAAGGAACATGCATGCGATTTCTCGCTCTACACTGAGATCTTTGCACCACGGCAGCCAAAGCGCCTTTGCAGTTTTCTGTGGGGGAGCCCTTGCGGCCTCTGGTTCTTCCACGCCGCGGCCCCGGGGGACAATCCTCGCCCCCGTCGCCTGCGGTCGGTCCCGCCGACGCTCTCCTCGCGGACTCGATCCCCACGCGGGCCTCAGCCAGGTCGGGCAGACAGCCGCTCCGCAGAATGACCGGTAGTAACCCCACCCCACCCCGCCGCCAGCGCCGCACTTCCCCGGCCGGCTTTCGATAGGCCCAGCCCCGCACGCGCCACCGCCCGCGGGCCAATGGGCGGCGGCCTCTTTGCATATGCAACGAGTGCCGGCCGGGGCTGCGCGTCCCGAGCTGCGGCTCAACAGACGCTGCTCTGCCGGCCGTGGGGGAGCGTCGCTGCGGTTGTAGCCGCGGCTGCGGGCGGGGACGAGGAGGCGGCGGCGGACACGGGACGTCGGGAGGTCGTCCCTTTTCTCAGTGCGGCCGCGTCTGGGTCCCCAGGAGGCGGCGCTGGGCGGGAAGTGTTCCCGGGCGCAGCCAGGCCTGCGTGGGCCGGAGACCGCGGGGAACCGCCGCGTCGCGGTGAGTAACCGCGGCCGGCGCCCGTGGTGAGGGTCTGGCGGGTCTGGCGGGGTTGACGGCGCGGTCTCCCTTCGGCGTGCGGCTGGGTTGGGCCTGAGGGGCCGCCGGGGCCGCGGGCTGCGGGAAGCGCGGCGGGGCTGCTTGGTGCGTTGGTGGGGCGGGGGGGGTGGAACAGGGTGTCCGCGCGGGGCCGCGGAAACCGCCGGTGTGTGGCCGAGGAGAGCGGACAGGATGTATCGCGGCCCTCCGGCCACTGCGGGACGGGGGCGGGGTCGTCCGCTCCCACGCGCCGGTGCGGCGTCCGTGGGAGGAACCTTCGCGAAAACCCGGGCTGGGCCGGCTGCGTATGCGCCGCGGGGTCGGGACTCCCCGTGGTTTACCGGGACTGGCGTAGGGACCTGTGGTTAGTTCTCCGAGTGCGCCTGAATTCCACGTGAGTCCGCGGTGCGGTGCGCACAGTTGTGGGATGCTGAGCATCGCATCCCTGTGGGGTAGGTGTACGCAGATGGAGATGGCAGCCGGGAAGACTCACTTGGAGGCACTGATCCAGTTGGATTGCCAAGTGGGATTCTAGAACATGCACTCCAAGCTCTTTACAGGACCCCCCCCCCAAATTTTATATATATATATCTCAGGACTACGTCTTAGATATTAAACAGAAGCTGGAGACGGAACAGGCTTTGAGACAGTGAGTGTCACTGTTACACACCACACAAGAGCGTTATGTACAACTGTTTACATAGTGCTTACTCCCATTTTACAGCTAGGGAAACGGCACATTAACTTGCCCCAGATCTGAGCTAGTAAGATGAGAAACGGCTTGGGGGGGGGGCTGCGTGTCTGAATCCAGAGCTCGTGTATCTGGTCACTATATCTTGCAGCTTGCTGTCGGTGTGGCTTCCACCGTGGGCTTCGGTCTAGGGGTCCAGGAGAACTGTAATTTGGTCTTTTTGGATTATTGTTGCCCATTTTGCATGTCTACTTCGGTTCTGAGGATGGTTGAGGTGCTGCCCAGTTGCTACTGAAAGAGTATTTCAGAGAGGAATTGGTGGGATATTGGAGTTCGTGGCACGGAGGCTGTTTTCGGATGTCTACCTGTGTGGTTCTCACATGCAGATGAGGAAAGCTGCTTTAATGTTCTCTTTACGGTTTCTGATTCTTCTGATTGCTGTGCCGTACAATAGAGTCGACTACCTGGTGTCTTTGGAGCTCGTTAACTGAATTTCCAAGGCATTTGGGCTGCGTGACTTTAATAAATTCAGTATTCTGCTAGTCTAAGATGTCCTTCTTGAAAGTAAAGAAGGGAGAAGTGAAGGCCCTTAGGAGGGGACCATCATTAGCTCGTTTCATTCAGTTAATTGCTCACCTGGAGCCTTATAATTTCTGTTATGTCACACACCTTGATAGGTGCTGGGAAACAGCATGAACTGAACTGATGTGTCCCTGTGCCCTTAGGCAGGAAACAGAATCCCAACAAATGTTCATGCCAATAAATGGGTGTTGGCAAGCTACTTGCAATAAGGGTGAGGATATTGAGTGATCTGAAGAGTAAGAATTTTGATTTTTTTTTTTTTTTTTTTTAGGTAGAACTCTAGCTTTTTTAACTGATAGGGTGCGATTTTTACCGTATTTTAGTCTTGCATTCTGAGGCTGTGATAAATGTATATAAAGAGCTTGAGAACTTGGAGCAATGATAATTCTTTTTATTTCATTTTATTTCATTTTCGGATGGGGAACATTTTCAGGTAGTCCTGCCTTCAGAGTGCTTAAAGCCCAGGTATTCCTGTATCACTTGGACTTTGTCCTGGTGAGTAGTTGGGAAGCAAGAATCTTTTATGTGAGCTTTGGAGACGGGATTTAGATCCCCCTTCTCCTCCGGCTAAGTCAGGACCATAGAATAGGAGCAGAAAGAGGCCTGCGTTGGACTGCTGGAGGAGGCAGTGTTGAAGAGAGAGGAGGAGTGCTAATTAGTTATGCCACTGTTACTGAGACTAGAACACCTGTTAGAAGATAGGAAAGATTTCTTTTGGCTCATGGTTTCAGAGGTGTTATTCCATCCTGGTGGGAGGGCAATCATATCAAGGTGGCAAGGGATCAGAGAAAGGTAGATGTAGGAAAGGACTAGGGCAGTATATAACCCGGAGGATGTGCCTCTAGTGACCTACTTCCTCCTAAGACCCCACTCCCAGTAATACTAAATGTCTTGAATCCATGAAGGAGTAAATGCATTGGTTAATGCATTGGTTAGGACAGAGCTCTGTATTGTCTCTGGAAATGCCTTCACAGACCTCCTCCCACCAAAGGTATACCTTACGAATCCCCTAGATACTTATTAATCCAATGAAGTCGACAAGATTGACCATCTCAGGAAAGCGAGAAGATCGCCAGAAGTAGCCACTCTAGGGGGAGGCAGTCCGTACTGCAGTACCAGAGTCCTTGGTGTCCTTTGCAAGGAATGCTGATCTGGCCATAGTAGGATGGGAGCAAGCAAGAGGTGAGGGGAATGAGACAGCATGTAGCAGGCCTTTTCCAGAAGTTACACCCATATGCCTGTTGACAGGGCCTTGACTAGAGATGAGAAAGGGTTACTTATTTAAGCAAGTTGCTGAGGGATTGGGGGAGTTGGGATGGATCCCAAGCAGGATGGAGGCCTGAGCTTTAGCTGGGAGGAGGGACATCTCTGTAGTAACAGGCCTGTAATTGACCCCATCTAAGTCAGTCAACCCTTCATCACTGTTCCCTAGGTACATTCCTTTAAGCTGCTAAGAATGTCAAATTCCTAAAAACAGCCAAATTTTGCTGACTCATGGCCCAGTGTTAGGATACCATGCACAGAAATGTGTGAAACCGGCTTAATGTGTGGTTTAGTCTTGATTTTGTCTACCTCAATTGGGCATATACTTTCATCTGACTTTTTAAAAATAAAATATTTTATTATTTTTATTTTATGTGTATTAGTGTATTGCCTGCATGTATGTGAGTGTATCCCTGTCATGCAATGCCATGGAAGTCAGAAGAGGGTGTCAGATTCCTCTGGAATTGGAGCTAAAGCCGCCATGTGGGTGCTGTGAATTGAATCCAGGTCCTCTGCAAGAGCAGTTAGTGCTCTTAACTGCTGAGCCATCTCCCCAGCCTTCATCTGACTTTTGATTGGTTTTATGTGTATGAGTGTTTTGCCTATGTGTATGCTGCATTTGTGTCATGCAAAACCTGTGGAGGTCAGAAGGGGGCATCAGATCCCCTGGAGCTGGAGTTACTGGTGGTTGTTAGGTGCCATGTGGTGCTAGGAACTGAATCCTGGGTCCTTTGGAAGAGCAACCAGTGCTTTTAACTACTGAGCCATCTCTCCAGCCCCCTGAAAAAAATTATTATTTTTTTTTAATTTGACTTTGGATTGTAGCTTTTTCTTTTCTGAAAAAAGATACACAAATGTTAAATCTTGTGATTCTTTCCTTACATGATTATTTTTGGTTTCATAAGAAACTTAGCTTTGGCCGGATGTGGTGGCTCATACCTTTAATCCCAGCACTTGGGAGGCAGAGGCAGAGGCACAGGCAGAGGCAGGCAGATCTTTGAGGCTACAGGGAGACCCTTTCTCAAAAGAGACCAAAGACCAAAAAAAGAAAAAGAAACTTAGCTTCCTGACATTTTAAGTGCCTTCGTTCTTTTTACAGTTTTAGTATTTATTACTACTGGAATGTTTTTATTCACATCACATACTGCAGTGCTTCCCAGTTTGAAAGATGATTCCGTGGGCTCAACTGATTCGCTGTTCATTTAGAATAGAAGATATTTAATACACTTTTTGCATAAATGTCTTGAATATAGCCATCTGCTTGATTTCAGAGGTATTTGTTTTGCAGGTATTTGTTGTTACAGGTATTTGTTATTACATGACCTTGAGACTTTCAGAGCTGCTGGCTCATGGCAGAAGTGTGAACAAACGTTACACATGCACAGATAGGTCTCACTGTGACCTAGTCAGCGCAGTAGTGAAGCAGGCCCAGAAGCAGATCCAAGCAGGCCCAGGGCAGAGGCGGGAAGGGAGATGCAGTGGAAGTGAGCGTGGTTTGAAGTCCTACCTGGAGCACAAGGGAGTCAGGGTTGGAATGTATCATGATTTAAAGATGAGGAAATTGAGGCAACAGAGTGGCTTAAATGACTTGCTTGAGTTTGTTTTGGATTTCATTCCAAGAAATCTGGCTCTGGAATTTAGATTTCTGACCCGGTGCTGCACTCCTCCCTGACCTCTGAAGGCACTGTTCTATCCCAAAGCCTCTGTGAAGGCATACAGGGCAGTGCTGGTATCTATTTTTAATTGTACATAGTTGTGTCCCAAGTAAAATCACAGTTTTTACAGTGGGAGAAACATAAGAAGTAACAAACTGAATTGGGAGAATTAAAAGTGTTCTTGTATTTGAACTGCAATACATCTTTAAGAACTTTTGCTGGGTGTGGTGGCGCACACCTTTAATCCCAGCACTCTGCAGGCAGAGGCAGGCCGATTTCTGTGAGTTTAAAGCCAGATTGGTCTATAGAGTGAGTTCCAGGCCAGCTGGGGCTACAGGGAGACCATGTCTCAAAAATACAAAAAAGAAAAAAAAAAGCCAAAAAACCAACTGACCAACCAAAAAAGAACTTTTATTAAGGGCCTGGAGAGATGGCTCAGCAGTTAAGAGCACTACTGCTCTTACAGAGGACCCAGGTTCAATTCTTGGCACCTATATGGTGCTAATAACCGTCTGTAAGTCCAGTTCCAGGGTGTCCAATGCCCGTTTCTGACCTTTATAGGCATTGTACAACACGGGTGCACTTACGTACGTGCTGGCAATATACTCATACACGTTGACTCAGTGGTTAAGAGCACTGACTGCAGAGGACCTGGGTTTGATTCCCAGCACCCATATGGTGGCTAACAACCATCTTAACTCCAGCTCCAGGGGATTCAACACCCTCTTCTGATCTCCGCAGGCATTTCATGACATGGGTGCACTTACACA